CATTTATATCACCCTATAATATTGGGACTAGAATAAAAATATAAAAGTGCAAAATTTTGTAAGAACTTCAAAGATATCTAAATCTGACATAAATAGAATTAATGAGTCAATTTATTGATTTAATAGGTATTTTATTCAGCACTGTAGACAGAGAAAACTATATTGTAAGATTTCAAATTGGGGCATCGTAGATATACACACTTTCAACACTTAATAGTTATTTAACCAACTAGTCTATTAATGAGGGCGATTAATGATCGAGATATTTTAACGTGCGATCGAAGCGAGTGCGTTAATGATCGAGATATTTTAACGTGCGAGCGAAGCGAGTGCGTTAATGTTCGAGATCATTAATCGCCTTTAAATATACAAGTTGGTTACAAAATTTTTCCGTCGACTATATATTTCTCATTTCTCCTGCAATGAAGAAAACTTGCAACAACTTTGATTTTTTCAATGGAACACCCTGCATAACATTCAATTTTCAGATTCTCCCTGGAGAGCTGATTTCATCGATCTATCACACTTGGGGTCTAGCGGGATTTTTTAACAATGATATTGGGTGTGAAAAATCGAAATTTTTCAACTTAAAGGATTTTTTGTGTCGAAACTATTCATGATTGGTCAAAACGGTTGCCATGTCCCTATCTTAACTTTTCATGTACTATCAATTGATATTCAATTGAAATAGATACAAGGTGGTTCAGAATTAAGATGTTTACCACCTTGTATCTATTTCAATTAAAAATTTCGATTTTTCACACCCTATATCTGAAAATCGAATAATATAGAGGGAGTCCATTTAAAAAATCAAAGTTGTTGCTACTTTTCAATATAGGGGGCAACGACGCAGCGCTGAGAATATTTTAGGTCGATAGAGCACAACTAATTATCCAAGGCATAAAATTTTCTGTTTTCCAAGTTACTCTCCAGAAACGTCTAATGTGCCATCCACCGTGAATCACCCTGTATAGGACTGTACTTATTTGGTTGTGAAAGAAATCGAAAGCCCTTTCAAATGAAGAGGTATAACACGGCATATCATTTTATAATCGGCAATGATAGTATAATCAGAAAAAGCATCAGAAATGATGTCACTACTTTCACAGAAAATAATATGCGCTTTTGAGAATAAAAGTCAACATGCTGCCACTTTTTTCAAAAAAGAGAATTTACATCGGAGATAATTGATATGTTCCATTTTCAACAATAACAGCACAATTTGTTTATTATAATTTTTTAAGCATCAATGGACTTCCATTAGAGGAGGATTCAAACTTGAACAAGACGGTCAATAACTTAGAAGAAGGCCTAACTTCGTCTGAAAACAACGTTCCCGAGGTTTTGATCGTCAGTATCATTGAATACACCGAGCCATGTGATTATGAAGACGTGAGCAGTACCATGAAGCCTACCATGTTAAATGAAAGTACGAATGAAACAATTGAAGAACTCTCCATTGAGGCAAAGCCAACCATGGGATATGAGGAGGCATCTCAAATGTCATTTCAGATTTCCCGGGTCTATGAAGTGACTAGAGTAAGTGGAAATAACAAATAATGAAGAGCTATACATACAGGGTGTTCATTTCAGGACTTCCCACCCTAATTTTCTCGAAATGTGTGTATGTTTTTGAAAAATCCCGAGACACGTCAACTACATTTTCGAGGGGGACATGGTTCTAGAATATTTTCAGCCCCGCGGCGTTGCCGCTTCTAACGAAAAGAAGCAACAACTTTGTTATTTCAAATGGAACACCCTGTATTTTATTGCATTTTTAGATTCTCCCTGGAAAGCTGATTTCATCAATGTATCACACTTGGGGTCTAGCAGGAATGATTACAGAGATATAGGGTGTTCAAAATCGAGATTTTACAACTTTAAGATTTTTTTGAGTCGAAACTATTCATTATTGGTCAAAACGGCTTTCATGTCCCTATCTCAACTTTTGATTTACTATCTACTGACATTTATTTGAAACAAATACAGGGTGATCAAAAGTCTGAATCTTGAACCACTTGAAGAGAACCAAATTTACTACAATTTTTGTCCCCAAACTTTTTCTGTAGAATCAAAAATGGCCGAGTTATTCAAGAAAAACCGTTTTTTAACAAAAAAAAAAACAGTTTTCGAACATATGCAAAAGCTTGATTTGGTCGCCATTTTGAATTTACACTCCCAGTGACTCCCCCCGAGACACCTATGAAAAAAAAAACACTAAAAAATTATTCACGGGTCAAAGTCTATAATGACTGGACTAATTGATCATTTGACCCATTTTTCTAGCACATCAGGCTGTCCATTGACATCTGCTTCTTATTTGGAATCGTGATCCTCATCGAAGGTGTCCATCTGTTTTGCCTAGACTACCTCATTTGTTTGGCAAGAACCCGCTTCGCCGACCACAAACGCTTCAACTTTTATTCAACTTTGAATATGATCTTAGCTTTTTTCATTTCATTCTTGAACGCAATGCTAGTATTTTTATTTTATAAGAGTATTGACTATTGTAACTAGTATATTTATTTTTGTTGAATCTATTCCAGATGTACCCTCCTAATAAATTATTCTCAATTTTCTATTTGATTCATTGAAGAACATGCAAAGTTTCAAAAAAACTTCAAATTCTGCATCATGCTTGAAATTTCAATAAATTGAAATAATCAATAGGTAAAAAAATGTCTACATGTGGTTTAAAATGCTACTACATCAGAATATCTTATTGTAATATTTTTCCCTGATTCTACAGTTGCTATTTCATTCGTCTTACACAATTTGAACGCATTTGAAAAAAGTGTTAATTGAATTTACCTACTCACCCAATCGAAAGTAGGCGTTTGCTTCCTCATAGGACACAAATTTGTCATTTTACTGATAACCCCACGGGAGGAAAAAAACATTACCTCCTGTGGGAGGTAAAATAAATTGGCAACAGCATGCTTGGCAGAGATATACCTATACCTATAAGACCCGGGCTATTCAAGTACTATCTTTTTTTCTTAAATAGAATAATCACTGGAATACCTTTCAATTTTATATTTTTGAAGAATTTTTCGGTCGATTTTTAGATGCTAAATATTAGTTATTCACTAATTCATAAATTCTCAATCGTCTCAAAATGTTTCCTTATGATTTATTGCTTATTGCTTACAATAAATTTGAGTAAATAATAATTATATTAATTCACACTAAAGGACATTTGAATCGGTCTCATTGTCAGTTCTCAGCATTCAGTACAATGTGACCAAGTCTCCAACATTCACATGATATTTTGTAGAATAAGAAATATTTGGACATGCTGGTTGCCCGAAAGTCAAGAATGAACTATAAAATCATGAGTTCCTCCTATTTTTTTTATCGCTTGGAGCGCACGAAAGGGAATCCCTATAATATTAGTTAACGACAGGACTCAAACCTTTTTGATAACTTGATTATAGTTGGTGGCTTGACAACCTTGCTTCATCAGTGAAAATGGAAGATTATCTGACTAATAACGAAACAGCATGAAAATTGACGTCACCATTTATTCGACGCATATATCTATTACTCATATATGAAGCATAGCTGTCCTCAAAGCGGGACCAACTTCTGTCTCTATAGGTGACGAAATCGACCAATAGGCGTTGATGCCGACGTAGGGAAAAAATAATACGAAACTTGTCAAACCAATGTGGCTGTTTCCATCCTTCACCTTCTGTCCTTATAGATTCAAAAAGTTCCTCTCATTTTGATGAGATATCGTATAGGCGATACGCCATATATAGAAATAGTAGATATATGATTCGACTTATCGCCAAATGGCAGCCATGACGTTACGTTTGAAATTAGGTCTCAAATTCAACGATTTTGAACAACGCAGAGGAATGAAAATCATATACAGGGTGGCCCAATGAAAACGAAACAAGGCCGATTCGACATCGTTATCGTTCTAAAAAAAAAAACGCACGAACCGGTCGATTTATATTTCCAGGGAGTAATATTTTGCGCTTGTTTTCAACTTTCTCACTTCAAACCTATCGGAGGGGTGACTACAACCCTTAGATCTCAAATGGGATAAGGGGTCATGTGATACGTCATTTTGATGGTAATGGAAATTTCTTACCAACGATTCCTTGTTTTTGGAAATCAATGCAGTAGTTCTCGAGAAAACACGTTTATGAAAATAATCGGCTAGTGATAGAAAGTAACGCTTTGTTCCCTTTCATCACTATTTCTCACTTTGTAGTTGGAATGATGGTCATCTAAAAAGTGCCTTATGTGTTTTTTTTTTAAATCTTGTCCTACCCAACATTGCATAAAGAATCATTTATTTTAATGTCAGTTCCTTGATCTCTCAGTAAAATGCATAGATATATGAATTCGTTAGTTGAAATTGAAAATGTACTATAAAAAGGGCAGTTTTTTTTATCACCTTTTAGAAGTGGAATCAGTGTATTCACATTCAGTTTGACCAAATCTAGTATCTCACAGGATCATTGGGACACCCTGTGTACATCATGGGAGCAAAGATTCATTTCATTCCATGTGTGTTTGTTCAGTGCCCGATGCTACACGTTGGTCATCAAACTTCACACGCGGGAGGAAATGAATACATTTTGCTCCTTTGATATACATATACAGTGTGTCCCTAGACCAGTGGGACAGTTGAATATCTCCTGAACCAATAGGAATTTTCAAAATATTATAATTCCACATCATATCGCATCATGAGTGCTAACTTCAGGAATGACTAAATTTTATACGAGGGGCGCAAGAAAGGCTCACAAAATCGAACATCAATTTTTTCAAATGGAACACCCCATATATTTCAACATATCTGCGAATTCTCATTCCTTTAGGCTAGTTATCAGTTTTTTATTTTTGAAAATCCGACAAGGCGTTGCCAAGTTATCATACATCATCAATTTATTATTATACATCATTCAATTTATTATTATTCAAGTTGCTTTTATTTTTAAATATTTTACATACTTTTTCTTCGCAAACTATATTATTGCTAAATGAAGTCACTAAAGCAACCTTATTATTTTCAAATACCTAATCAAAAATTTGTATATTTTTACTATAAAATGATCATCATACTTGATTGGAAAAATTTTAAATTTGTACATAATCACTATCTACCTATTTGAAAAAAAAGTATATTCACAAAAATTTCGATTCACCTGAAGAAAATCTGGTATCCAACAGTTGGGCCTTTTTCAGAACTGCTTTTTTTTGAGCCTCATCAAACCGATTCACCTGAAGGTCCAATTCCCTACTGAAAGGCCTTCTTTCAGTGGAAGCAGAAGAATCCTATCAAAAATATTGATATCAATAATTATACACAACAAGAAATGGCTTTGGTTCTTTGCAGGGCCATTGGTAAATATATTTGACAAGAATAACATTTTTAATAAATAGTGTCAATGACATCAAAATTTCCTGATCCATCACCATGGTATTGCTAAATTACATGATTTTCATCAAGGTCACATACTTTGCATGAATTGGTGAATCCGAATAATACTCAAAGTTGATTTGTTAAATGATCCATCATTTGATGAAGATTAAACAGTTTGTGAATTCAGCAACACAATGAATTTTTTTTAGCAAATATAATAATGTTCCACATTATCAACAATATTTATTTACAATATGTGCTGGTTTAGTTATATATGGTTTCATAATAATATTAAGGAAGAAGTGTTTCATAGATGGATTGTGAATTGATAAATATCATATTTTCTTCTCAAAAGTGTGCAACCAAATAGGTATCTAACTTTACCTTTTTATCTTTCATTTTCTTCATATGGATATTCACCAAGCTCTCCTTATCCCTTTTGCTCTTTTTGACAACAACTTCTTGTTCTTTATCTCTCTTCCTAATTTCTCTCAATTCCGCCTCTCTCTGAAGATCCACTTTGGGTTCCTCTTTACCTTGTTTCTTCTTATCTTTATCTTGAGGTGTGTCTGTCCATGAAGATCTAAGACAATTAAACATAACATGATCAGGTTCAGTGAGCAGGAATTCAAAAGTTGATAGAGGAAGACTGTTTTACAAGTATGTGTCCTAGAAGTGTATACTTTATTTCCTAGAAGCAGAACACTTTCATTTGTGAGATTTGACTGATTTGAGTTCTACACATCAATTATTTCTGTATGTTTTCAATAGATTTAATTCAATGTTCATCATGGGATATAGTCAGGAAAGTATAGTTGTTTTCTGTTGAATATACCGACAAAGACGCGTCGGGCGACAACTCAACCTATAGTTAAATCTACTACTTTTTCCCTTGTATAATAAGTTTAGCTATTATCAGATAGAGAATGTGAATTCTCAAAGTATTTCTTAATGTAAAAACTTCACGAACGATAAGATTTCAACAAATCGTTAGTGATGTTTTTACATTTGTTATAAGTGAATTTTATCCAGGAATTATTGCAGGTTATGAGTTCAGTTGAGTTGAGTCTGAAAAATTAACTCAACTTATGCAAAAAAAAAGTGAAAATTTGAAGACTGTAGTTAAATAGTCAGATAGACCATGATCACATGTTTTTTCTGTGACGGGAAAAAAGGTTTGGCATTTCATCTCTGTTGACAGGTAATAAAATGACACTTTTCATAAATTACTTTTTTCCGTGGAAAAAAACTGAGTATTTTTTCCTGGATATATATCACATATATATACACTGTTGGCTATAGTTCCGAAAAATAAGTCAAAAATACCCTCTCCGAGAAAGTTTACCTTCCATTCTTCCATTCAACTTAGCGGTTACGTAAATTACTAATCAACCACCAAATTCGCAATTTTGGGAAATCAAATCACAGAATTAGACTGACAGAAGTAACATCAGATAGTTGATTACTTCAAAAGAATGATAAAGAACTTCAAATTTCACGTCGATAATTTTCAGATTTCAAAATAATGTGATATCTTCTCAATATTGATTCGTCCTTTCTTCTCTCACAGTCGGGAGACAACACAACCTGGGGCTAAATTTTACTACTTTTTTCCCTTGTATAATTAATAACTATTTCGAAAATCCTTCCTCTCGAAAGTTCCTTTTTTCTACAAACAACGGTAACGGCCGGGTCAATTAAAAAAAAGTATTTCTCAATTTGTATACCGGGTGTCAACGAATCTATTAGACAAGTCATAACTTCTAGACCAATAGGTGTATCAAAATGAGATTTGGTATAGGTAAATGGTATGTGAAGAGGAGAGTTTTCGCATATTTTTCACTTTCCAGTCACTTCCGGTTTCACCGGTTCCAAATTTTCAAATGGAACACCCTATTTATTGTAACATTTTTGGATTTCTGAGACAATTCTGGATCAGAATGTGACATTTTTGAAAGTTTTTATGCCTACTTAATTTTTTGGGAGTCACTTTTGAAATTACGCACCTAGGTGGCCATGATCGGAAGTAAAGTATATGGGGATATGTCAAAGGGCCTACTATGCAACATTCTACAGGCACTTAGGAGTATAACGCCACAAATGTTACGAAAGGTATTGAGAAACAATTGAACGAGCTGAAATGTGTCTCGAACAAGGAGAAATGCACTTATGGTCGCCATTCGAAAAATAATAGTTAGACACGAAAATTTTGCCAGATTGTCTTATTCATATCTAACATACTTGTCACTATAACTTCGCGTTTGTAATTTTCTGATATCACCTGAGGTCCTTAGATTAGTTTACTTCCGATCATGGCCACCTAGATGTTATTTCAGAAGTGACTCCGAAAAAATTAAGTAGGCATGAAAACTTTCAAAACTGTCACATTCTGATCTAGAATTGTCTCAGAAATCCAAAAATGTTACAATATACAATATGTGAAAACTTTCCTCTTCACACACCATTTACCAATACCAAATCTCATTTCGATACACCTAATAGTCTAGAAGTTATGACTTTAGATTCGTTGACACCCGGTATATCGCATTTTTTTATGTTCAAATAGTACAGGTTGTTCCTAATAGGTCAGTACAACATCTTAGCACGCATTCCTGAGGTCAAAATAAGCCGACTAGAAGCAACTTACCCCAGTCCATAATTGCTTCTTTTCCGAGATACAGGGTGTTTTAAAAAATAAAAATAGACAATAAGTACACTCCGAGAAAGTATTTTGAAATATCCATTTTTGCACTGATAATTCACTGATCAAATAACATCCATGAAGATGACAGCAAACATTTTTAGTCAAAATAATTACACTGAGAAGAAAGTTATGGCTATTCTTAGCCATAAGAACTGCATTGATAAGCACACTCTAACGGCCACAGTGAAGAGGTGTCCCTATTCCCCTAAATCTGAGAATGTTTCAATACTATCAATGAGAAAATCATTTTAGAGATTATTTAAAGACACAGTAATAGTCATATAAACATTTCCCATCATGATTGGGTGTGTCAAAAATTATGATGAAAATTCATTTGGTTTGAATAACCAGAAAACTGTTCAAGATCAGTATGAAATATTGTAATCAGTAAATATTCCCAACATTCTTACATGAAATGGTGATGGTGTTACTAATATTATGATCTTTGAATATAATTTCCAATTTGAATTGCAAAACTTTTTCTACAAGTGGCTATAGTGAATAAAATTTAATCATATTGTGAATTACCATTATTATTATTTTTACTGCTCAGTGTGAAATGATTATTTGAATAGGTCAATAGTTTCTGAAAATTGGACTAGTTTTTCAAGAGATCAAGATGTTTTTGAATTTCTTCAACAGCAGTTGAAAAAAATGTTGTATTACCTATCTGAGAGATCAGGTCCAGCCTTTGCCCTAAACTGCCTAGGCCCCAATCCCAAATTGGAAGCTTTGGCATCTGGTAATTGTACCATCCACTCTTCCCGAACTGGATCCTTTTTTTCATTGGGCCCCAACTGATTTATCTTCATCTGAAGAGCCCTTTCTTCTAGGTCTAAATGAGCCTGTGAAAAACTTGAGCCTACAGGGACTGGGCCATAAGTTTCAATTTCATTTATCTCCTCATTATCTGTAGTGTCAGCTTCTGCAAGTTTTTTTCTCAAATGAAATGGCAAACTGGGGCCTATACATCTGTCAGTAGCTCCAAGTTCATTTGGTAAAGGTGATGTTGCATGAGATTGAGCTGCCTTTTCAGTAGTTTTTAAATGTGGAGGTAGGGCAGGTCCCAGTACTTTTTTAGTTTCTTCACTTGTTATTTGCTTTTTGATCATTATTTGTTGTGGCAATGTTGGTCCAATGGCATGATTATTTTCAGCAGAAGAAACAGATTCTTCTTTATTTTCATTATTAATTCCAGAGTTGATTTCATTAATTTTTGATTCATCTTCATCAGTTTTAATTTCAATCATTTTTTTGAAACTTGGAGGCAATGCAGGCCCCAGATAGACTATTTTTTGTTTAGAATTTTCTGGTTTTGATATTTTTTGTTCATCTACTATTTTTTGTTTAGAATTTTCTGGTTTTGATATTTTTTGTTCATCTGTTTTCTGTAAATTTTTAGGCAATTCTGGTTCACAGTCTATCACTGTCAGTTTAGATTTTTTATCTGTTTTACTAGATGAATCATGTCTACTAATATCTCTTTTTTCAAATTTCTCCTTTTTTCCAATGTCACTATTTCTTTGTTTGTACCTAGAAGTATCCTCTTTTTTCCTTTTCTCCGATTTATGTCTGTTTTCAGAACTATCCCTACTTGGAGAAGGATCCTTTCTCTTTCTAGTACTATTTCTTTTCTGCCTGGAACTGTCACTATCTGAAGGGCTATATCTTCTTGATCTATTATTTTGTCTAGATTTATAGTGTGAATGAGAACTCAAGCTTCTATGACTAGATTTATTTCTATCAGTTCCTGACTCCTCATTTTTCTTAGTTTTATTCCTAATACTCTCTGTTTTATAGCGGATTCCCTCATCTGAATCTACAGAGTCTGAATCTGATAAATTATGCATGTTGAATCTGTAAAAGAAATAAAATAATAAGAAAACTTGTTCAAACAAACATCTTCTTTATTTTTCTACTGCTATATTTGACACTTTTAAGTAATCCAGCTGTCATAATGCTCTTCAAACTTTGACTAATGGATGATTTGAAAACTATGTCAGCAATACACTTCTTAACTATGAGTCCACAATCAGGATCATAGGCAATAGCTCTCAAAACATCTTCTGTGTCTTGACGAATAGTCCCTTTGTTCCAAAACCTAGTCATAGCCATTTGGGGCCAGCGAGGGAGCTGATTCAAGTGATGTAATCTGGTCAAGGGGCTGGTATCTTGAGAACATTGCAAAGGAGGTTGATTTGGGTCATACACTTTTGTTATTTGTTCAATTTCATCATGACTAGCTTCAATTTTTTCTACAGGAATGTCCACATAGTCCCTCAATGTCATCAAAAATGACTGATATAATTTTCTGAAACCAGGTACCTGTGGTTTCACAATGTTTTCAACTTTATGTTTGTTCTCACCAAAAGTCATTCGAAAATCACCACTATAACTGAGATTAGAAACAGTGTGATAGAACTCATATTCAGTAAAAGATTCTGGCAGAACAAGTAAAGCAGCATGGACTGCAGACTGTAAATTGAGTTGTAGAGCTGTCTCAAGTTCAGAATTCAATGGCTTTTTTATAAACTCCACAGGCTTGTGCAATCTTCCAGCTAAATATAGGTCAGACCATTCCAATAAGTCAGTAACCAAATCATTTGTGCTAATGACCCCATATTTGATATAAACATCATCCAAAGGGACAAGAGTGTTGAAGTATACTTTGGCCCCAAAATTCTGTTGATAGTGAGAAATAAAATTGTGACCAAAATACTTGAGTCCACTATAATGTGAAGGATTGCTTCGTAGATTTGCTTCATGCCATTTATTCGGGTTATTTACGCAAATGATCAGGTCAATCATGTTTTCAGAGCCTCTGTTTTGTAGTTGTTGTTTCACAGCTGACCCATAGGCAAAGCAAAATGTGAAATTCTGTGGAAATCTTGACAGAATTCGTTTGTACAGCGGGGCTACTATTGTGATTTTAGTAGACATAATGGAATTTTCATCATACTATAAACATCAAACCAATGTTACAATTAAAGTTTTATAAAAGGAATCAAAATTTTAATAACACATACCACTAACCTAAAATATTCACCTGTCACATGCAACAGCTGACTGAAATAATGGAATTGTCATAAAACTGACATCTCAAACAAACACAGAACATGAACTTCATCATAATCACAGGACATAAACGTTCACACTTGCAATGGCGAGTGTCTCACGCCAGCTACGAAACTAGTAGCATGTAGCATGTTGCTGTGGTGCTTTTACCGCGAAATTGAGATGTTTATAAGTTGACCGCGAAATGTTGCAGAATGATGACAGACCGAATGAAATTCACATTGGCACATCAGGAAAGCTGAATAACAAGCAAATTAGGTGCGTTTTTCATCCCAACATTTCGTCATGTGCATGAATCCAATAAACCATTAAACTATTGCAACATAGACTTTCGAAGACTTCTGAGGGTTGCTCGTAAGGGGGCAACCGAATGACGGATAGAACAATTTTAGAACAATTTTTGAACACAATTCCGCTGAAATGTTGATCGAAATCTAAGATTGGAAATCCAAAAAACTGTTGTTATACAATGCACACTTCTAATTTTCTTCGAGAAAATCCAGCGGTTTGTTGTATATTACATTGCAGCATCGGTACCATCATGAATTCCATCAGAAAATTGATGACGTCACGCCAACAAAGCGTATAAATCACTATAGACTTTCTCCGATGAAATGAAAAAACACACCTCCAGCATCAAATCCGTATGACACCGGCCAATTTTTCATCCTTTTTCTGAATGAGAATTTGTATTCAGAATGTACTGCACCATGTATTACAGAAACAGAGTCTGAATGCAAAATTGAATGAAAAATAGGACATGTCCTATATGTATATATAGGTATACCACATTATTGAAAAAGTGAAAGTGAGTTTGTCCTCAAAGTAACCCCAGTTTACGGTACTCATAATAATTATAATCTCTTTGAAATAATACAACCATATCCAATAAGTTGATTACCATTCGATTAATTTTTAATACAATCATATCAACCTATATAGCTATTTCTTCTTGAAGTCACCTTTCATCAACATGTAACAGGCCGATATTAGGATGAAAATTCCTAGAATGGTGTACTGGAATGTGAGTAACCAGAAAGCCAGTAAATAAGCAGTTCTGTTGCAATATTTCCCCAAGTTTGGATCATAATTTGGTTGATATTCCGTATAAACAATGTAGGTGCCTGAAAACTCCAACATTTTCATGAATAAAACCTTCCGCTATTCGTACTTACTGTGAAATACTGGAGAAATGAAATAAATGAATAGGCAGGTATGTACTCACCTAAGCCATGCCATAAAACATCGAAAATCAATAATGCTATTGCTAAATTAAATAAGTGCCTATTCTTGCAAGAGCTCAAAAATTTAGCCATTGCTCCTAGAAAACCTGAAATTGCAGATAATTTGGTTGAAAATCGTTTTGTGCTTGTATGAATTCCGCAACATTTTTGCGAATGAAATGGCGACTGCGAATATCGCGTTGAAGTTGATATATTCGAACTTTTTTACGAATTCGGATGAAATCATAAATACACATTATGCATATGAGGTGTTGTTATCAAAATTTGGGGATTAAGGAGCGCAGAGGCCGAAAAAAGACGAGATTAGACACTAGACTACATGTACATTTCATCATTTCTTCATTCGATTCAATTTTCTTCGCAGGATGAATTCTCTGGACGAATTAATTTCAATCGTCATTTGTATAATCTCTAAAGAGCTAATGATCCAGACGCTGCAGTGTTCAAAACATTTCTCGTTTGATAAATGCGACTGTATGACCCTATGATAAATCTTTCAATTACTTTTGAGCTTGTATCAATGGTGGGACCAGAAATAAAGAAATTATATACGACAACAGAACCCTTCCTGCAAATTTTGTCACATGAGTATGAACGTCGAGTTTTGTTGGGAATTTCATATTTTGCGATTCGCATAAATTTTGCGGAATTCGTACAATGTGAATTATTCCGCTCAAGTATAAATATATACAGGGCATTTATATATCAAGTACTATATACTATAAGTATTTGTAGTAACTTCAAACGGATAATCATTGACTAATTTCAGCTCTAAGTAGAGTGATAGGGTTCATATACAATGAGAAAAGCACACAGTCATCTCCTCGATTTTCAACTTGAAAACATCAAATTAGGATTATGTTTCAGACATATGCAATATGTCCATCTCCAGCTTATGCTCTGTGCTTTTCTCATTGAATATGGTTTATATATATTACGCTATCAGTCGTGATGCTTTTTGGGATTTTCTATTTTCTTTATTTTCACTAATTCCATTTAAGTAATTTGTAAAATAGGTTGTGATGCTGAATACGTGTTTTTCGCTCTCATTAACAACTTACACAAAATTCTAACACAGGTTTACCTATATGAAAACCAAGCCGTTGCGGCGGACCCATATGTTAATTGCATTTTTTGTACGAAACTTATGGTCAAAGATTCACAGCTTATGGCTTGAACAAATATACTGAATAAACACATTGTATATTTTTTAATAAGTAGGTATAATAAAAGCAAACTTATATGTCATATCTCTCGGGATTTACCTGCTACAATTAGATAAATTGGTATAAGTCTGTTCACAGAACAACTGTTGAGACTAATCCATCCAACAGTGAACATTAAAAAAAATACAGCATACAGCATTACCAGAGATGCATTTATACCAGCTGAAATTAAAAATACTCTAATTAGACACTATACCGGCTGATTTTCCGCGGTGGGATCACCCATGTAACTTTGTTGTTATTGAATGTAGTGAAACGAAAGTTGCGGGAGTTGTGAGTTATAGTTCAATTGACGTTCTTTGACATATTTACTTTACTAAAAACCTCCAAATCGGACATCCTCTTGAATTAATATTTATAACACGATTATCCAGGCCATGAATTGGAAAATTCCGAAAACAATTCGAGAGAAACCATCAATCAAGAGGATACAGGTGAGAAAAAAAATTATTTGTTCAAAACGGTAAGGTTTTATCACTCTGTAGCAATGTTATCTGAAATTACAGAAATTTCATATTGCCACAACAAACTGTTGAGAAATTAGCCTGATCATCGGTGAAAACCGATTTCAAATTGGTAAGGAAATTCGTGAGTTATTCTACTTTGAATTCAGGCTGAATTTTGGACCATGACGTTGTTGACCAGTTTACATTATCTCATACATGATCCACATTGATGGTCTAAGAAATGAACAAACATTGAAAGAATGCATCCATGCATCCATGCATTCAATATTCAAATATTTCGAATCAACATTCAACAGAATGACACACACAATGCATCCATGCATCCATGCATTCAATATTCAAATATTTCGAATCAACATTCAACAGAATGACACATTGTGATACAAATAACACTTCCTGTATTCAATAAGCCATTATAGAGCTTCAATTGAAGTTCGAATCCAATCGCATCATCAGTGTTTTATAGACTTTCAAGTTGATGCCACACGCAGAAGTTGCGTGTTTGCGTTGTATGGCAACTAAAATAAATCTACAATGTGATGTCCAATGGCGATGTATTATGTTGCGGACATTAAGCAATCGCCAATAAGTACTATACTGCACCTATTCTGAATCAACAATGTGAAGTCCAATTTCCACAATGATAATTCCCCACAACTTCTCTGCAATCAACACTGGTTAACTGGAGGTCCATATTTCAGTTTCACAGAACTATATAATGATTGTAATTAGGCAAAGATATATACCTACGTGAAAAAAATTCTTTTAATATGGCAGATCAGAGCCGTCGTATAACTCGTATATTATATATTCAGAAATTCAGAAAAAACTAGATCATTTGGGAAAGTAGCTTAGAATTCAGTGAACTCCTATGAAAATAATATTTGCCAAAATTATGATGCATACTTTTTGGTCAGTAAATGCCTTACCAAAACAAGATGGTGCTAATCAATTTGATATGTTTTTGCTTGAAAAATTCAACTGATACTCACGTGGTGGTTTTTCCTTGACCGTTTCTAATGGCTCGTCATCATCTTCAGTCTCCAGAATTTTCAAAGTGCTCTCCGTTTTTTCTATATCTACCTTTTTTGTTATCGCACCACCTGTCGCGCCACATCCTTCTGTCATTTTTTTTTCACTTATTTATATTCGAAAGAGGCAGGCAAGTTGTTCTCATGCGTTTTCAAAAACAATATTGAATGTAGTACAGAAAATACTATTTATATTTTTTCGCTGGCAGACACACAGTGTGGATTTTATTTTTAGTCTGTGTGATATTGTTTTGATATAATTGAATTTGCGGAAATTAGGTTTATCTCTAAGAATTGAAGAGGTATTGTGTATGAAATGTAATTATATATTTCCCACTGATTGATTTTAAATGACGGGACGTTTCTTCGTAAATTTACAGGAACGGACCTAAGAAGTATACGGCCTGCTTCCTCCTAAAGTAATTGGCCAATATTTATAGAGAATAAAATCCGATTACGTATAGTCGATATAGTCGTTATTCTCACCAGGTTACTGAAGGCGGAAAATTACGACTCTTGAATAATCAATCATAAAATACAACAATGCAACACGAACACATTTGTTTTCAACATCTCTTCTTATATTGGTACCAATATAGCATCTAAGTTCTGCTTGAATCTAATTAATTCTCGCACAGTAACACTAAATGTTCTATATTCCATTGACATGAATACAGCATTTACATTTACGATTATTATATCATAAAAATATAAAGGGCAGCTGACATTAACACATGTCCAAAGAAAGTTATTTATGTACTTCTTTCAATATTTCTTGCACCATATTGTATTTTGTATTAGTGGTGGACAATAAGACACTGCGACTTAACTCAGACAGCACCAGATATATTCTATGAATCTCGACCCTATCATATTCCTTTAGGAATTTTGGAATATGCCCTCAAAATCGTTTAGAGTTCGTTGACTAGCTCCGGCTTCTCTATGAGACTCCATAGGCAAGCTTTCAGATCCCCTGTGAAACTCTGGGCTCTTGGTTTTTCTTCACCCAGCGTAAGGAACCTTAGTCTTGACGAGCCGCAATGATGTATTGAAATAATTTTTGCCTGAAACACCGTCGCGTATTTGCCTAAGCTTTTAGTGAGATTCTTGTCCTTGGCTTGGCCCCATAAATACCAGCTCCTGACCCTTCCTCGGTTTCGGAGCCGTCCGTATTGACAGCAATGTCTGCATTGATAGGAGGTCCTTCCTTCCATGCTCCTCTTTCCATTATACTTATTCTAACAGTTTTTTCAAAGGTATATTTTGGAATTATGCCACCTGTTGGCATTCCAATGATGGGGTGGCTTTCCAACTCTTCATATAGCTTCCTGTAGTCTTTACCGTGCGTGTTGCTTAGCTTATGGGTGCTTGACCCCTGGACAACCTAATCTCGACTGCTCTGGCTTCGACTTGAATGAATATTTGTAGTAGTGGCGAGTTCAAGAGGACCTCTATAAAGAGGTTGTTGGAGTGGTTTCCATTGCACCAGTGGCGCTGATGCAAGCTTGCCTTTGAATGGCACTTAGCCTTCGAATCACTCCAGCCTGTTGTGTCTTTGGCCACCAAACTACGGACCCATATGCTATCATGGGCCTAATGACACTGGCATCATAGAGCCATGTGGTCATTTTTGGTTGGGTATCCTGAGATAAGTTCTGGATTTGCTGGTCAAGTGGGCAGATCGGTTTGTCCTTGATCACTTCTTCTTTAGGGTCATACAAATCATACAGATATGACACAAATGATATACATTCGTTTCCGAAAATACATTTATTAGGTACATATAAATTTCAAACGAATAACGAATAACATCAAAATAAACATGTGTTCCAATAAATATTATTTCTTCAGTTGAATTACACATTCATAAAAAAACTCATCAGAGCATAGCTACCGGTAAGTATATATTCACTTTTGATAGTTATACATAATATAGCAAACCAACAAACAGTGCTGTCAATATTGGAGTAAATGTATAAAAAGTAGGTACCTAGAGGTATACATGATAAAATACATTATTGGAGTATTTACATAAAAAGCGTAGATGCACCCAACAGATAGCACCTGTTGAATACAATGATTTCTAAAGTTCTGGCAACACACCAAGTTCGAGTTTGATAAGTAGCTATGATAAACAAGGTAACAAATATATGTATCAGAGTACAATTTTTTTAGCAATTTTCTCTCTCATCCAATTCAATGAGGATACACAAATTTTGACGCGATGTTTCAAATGGTATCACCAGAACTTTATACTTTGAAGAAGGTGATTCAGACTTCGATGTAAATATTTCAAGGACATATATTGTTGAAGTCGGAATAAGACTTTTTTTCATATACATATTCTGTGTCCTAAAAGGCACCCTCACCGAGCTGCAGCCACTGTAAGTTAGTTAAAAAAAAGATTACCTAAAATTGTGACTGAAAAAACAGATCAAATCTTCTCAAAATTGGCATGTCCCTGCCCTAGTCTTAGACACTTCATTTCCTTCTTGCTTCAAGAATGATGTAAACCGAGTTTTGGAGGAGTCGAAGGGGGTCCACACCTTTATTGGTCGAAATTTCAAGTTTGAAAAGATCGAGAAACTCTGACTTTGAATAGCATGATCTTGAGAATGACCATAGGAATTCATTCTCTTCCATTTTTTTCATACAACTAACCGTTTGCCAGAACGCAATGGGTTAAACGCTTGCATCTTGCGATAAAAAAAATACCGAGGTGATCGTATTTCGGAACGCATTTGAGATTGCTATTTCAGAGGCTTGCAGTACTTGCACTTGAATCGTTATCATGATCACAATAATAACAATTACTCTTTATAGTCAACCTACACAGTGGCTGTAGCTTGGAGGAGATGCCTTTCAAGTCACATGTTAATGAGAAACAAAAGTCTTATCTTGATCCCAACAATACCTCATTAAAATATTCCCATCTAATTTTGAATCACCCTGTATAATACATGGGGTGAATAAGGATACGCTCCCCACACAACCTCGATCATTATTTATTTTCAGCTGCCGCTTGTCTTTCTCTCTCTTCGATCACTTTGACCTGCCTCTCCACGTCAGTTTCGCTGGAAGAAGAATCTGAGGCCAGAAGGCAAAGGCAGCACATGAAACACAGAAGGCCGCTCAAAACTGCAAGGATCAACGCGTAGAAAATTGTTATGTAGACGAAGGCGAACATGTACGCAGTTTTCTGGCAATAACTGTGACCTGACAGGGGGTCGTAATTCGGAGGGTAGACCTTGTACACCCAGTATGAACCTGGAACAATGCGTGTGTTGAATTCTTCAAAAATAACAAAATAACCTTCCACATCTAGTGTACGTTTGGCAGTTGGCATGCAATACAAAATTTCATTTCAACATAAACGGCAAGACCATTTCACCTGCAAAGATGAAGAGAGATCTTATAGATAGACTCCGCAACTTAGATGCGTTTTTGAACTGTTATTATAGTGACTTTTTTTTTGGCGGTCGGAGTTACACCAGAGCTACTCCTGGGCTCCAATCTACAAAGCTAACCCGTTCTTTATACGCACGGCTTTGAGCTCCGATACAACACCTCTAACCTCCCCCCTTTTGCATCTATTGCGTACGTGGTGCAACAAGCACATTCGGCGGCATTTGAAAATCTTTCGTTAATTTATGTTCGTGTTTTGAACTGAAACAATTCCAAAATGGACAAAAATACTAAAAAATTATATTGATAATAATATTTCCACATTATTTTCAATCTTAGAATGTTTTCTTCTGGGTTCATCATCATCATCAGGTAAATTCTTGAGAATACTGTGTGAAGTTGAAGAACTGTTCGATTCTGACATGCTCGAATGATTATACCAGGGTCGATAATTTTTGAAAGCAAAAAAAATAATAGTAGGATGAACCCCTTTGAGAAAAGGCTCGTAGTTTTGCTGTAAATCAAGATAAACCGTGTTTTACCCTTGAAAACTCACCCCTACCAATTCCCGACCTCAGATCGCCCGTAATTTATTTTCCCTTTCATCTTTATCATATTCTCTTTCTTTTCCAATGGGTTTCATCCTACTATGTTTTTTCTTAACATTTTACCGTTTTCAAAGGCTTCAGCAATGGTCTATGATTGCCTGGTCCAAATTATTCCTGAAGGATATATTTTTCTCTCACTTAACTCACCATCAACAACATTTCGATTTCAGCATCAGACATTCTCAAGAATGATTTTTTAATAATATTTAAATATCGATAAGGAACAATAATCACTACTGACTTTTTATTTCAAATAAAATTGATATATTTATACAATGTTATTCCTGTTGAGGCTGCTCGGGTGCCCAGGCCAGATGATTGATGACAAATGATTGATGCTAGATAATTAATTATCATAATGATCACAATCATTTGACAAAAACACTGAAATCAGCTGGTATATAGGCGAAATTCATTACATCAAATTGACGCCCAACAAGAAGACGGAAGGCCACCCCACATTGGGCGCCATATTATATGTTGTACATACATTTTGTCTTCTATCAATTGCGATATCAACTCAATCGTTCCCTAGTGATTTGGTTATTTTGAAGTTGTGATCTTCTTTTCCCATTTGAAATATACTACTGACAAATAATGTATTCATTGTCATCGTTTCAACGTCTATATTCACCTCCAACGTTAAGCTTTTTATTTATTTCTTGATAGAACATTTTGCTTTCGGTATATTTTTCTATTTTTTTACAAACTCACCTAGTACAAAGAAGACAGACTCTATCGTATACAGGCTGGATTCAATGAAAGTAACTTGGAAGTGACGTATAAGCTTTTCTCTTAGGAAGGTTATGATTTTTGAGAGAAGACCAACAGCACCTGGAACAAAATATTCATAAAAATTCTAACATATTTATCAAGCTATCGCCATCTAGTGGTGTGTTCTGAGATAGGACCTTTCAGTCTTGTCGTACACTGCATGACGCTGCCATCTATAGTCAAAATGTGAGATCCCTACGTCTACAGAGTGCCACTACAAGTGAAACATTTTGCTGACAGATGGCACTACCTGATAGTTGAGTGGAAATTTCACCAAACCTATTCCCTGAAGTAGATCTCATGACTAAGAGATCATAGGATGAACAGAGTTGCCCCAAGTGTCGGCAGACCGAGTGCGGCTGATGAGGCCTGGTGGGCTGGTGGGCCGGATCTGTTCATGCTAGATCTCTTAGTTATGAGATCTAGCTCAGTGAATAATTATTACCTAACGTAAATTCCTGGATTTATTTTTCATAATCGTATAGATTTCAGAATATCTGACAACAATGGATGTTTTAGAAATATGCAACAATGAACAATGTATAACCTAAAGCCCATATTGTAAACTTTTTCTTTCCTCATGTTCGAGATTATTTAGGATTTGCTCGCACCCAAATGGATCACACTGAATGTGGAAATGGGATAGCGACGAACTTCCGGAATGACTGTTAACAATGGAATGTGCGATGTGCTTGTCTAGTTGTCTGGAGTAGTTAGTTAAACAACTTCAAATTGCTCTCATCATATGTAATAGAACACGAGTTTACAGATTCACACAATGAACAGGTGTTTAAATTTCAACTCATCAGCATTAAAGCCTGATGGTTGCTGAGTCTATGTTGAAACTCAACTCTTTATTTACCTTTCAGAGTGGATTTTTTATTATAAAGGACACGTTCTTACATCATTATGGTCATAATACAAATCTCAATTATATCATAAGTAGTTTGAAAACAAGTTCATTTCCTCCCTCCGCAAAGCGCATCTGGCATCAAACTTCAAGTGCGGGAGGCAATGAATACCTTTGCTCCCTTGATATATAAATCTATATTACCTTCCTTGTATTTAAAGATAGGGAATGAAAACTGTTTTCTTCTACAAACGTCGAAAAGTTACAAGGTTCGCGCATTGATAACAAATTGCGAAGTAACAATTGTTTTCAGGTTGCCTACGTTACCACAACACAATGTGCGAAGCAGTTCGCGAACAGTCGTATTCAATAAAAAAGCGTTCAAGTCTTGAAAAGACTGGTTTTCATCATCCTAGTTCTAGTTGTGTAAAACTGTGCTCAGCCAATGCTTTGTGTTTTTGAGAAATTATCGACAACTTTACTGTCAAAATTTGGTGGAAAATCATTCCCAATAGCCCGTTTTACGCTAATAGGATGACATTAATTGCTCTTTGTAATATAGATGTACGCTTTTTTTTGATACGACTGTACATAAGTACTATATGAGATTTCTATATTCTAATTTTACGGTCCTCAATCGAGCAAACATCCAAGAAATCATTTATTTCTGAAAGTTTAACAATATTTTTTGATCTCTTGAACTGCACGGAAGGAAATTCCTATACCTATAATGTTCGTGGAACATCGTGCGTACCTAGAGAGGATAGGGAGAGGCCTTTTAATGAGTCCCCGTAGGTACGCCACTGGGACAAACCAAGTATATTATCGAGGCACACCATTCTGATTTCTGATTTTGTAGGAGATGGCAGTTTCATCATATACGTTGTGGAATTGTTATTATTTGTCAAGAGACTTTCACAAATTGTCTGTATAAGTTAATCGAGGAGGTGGAATTCGTTTCCTCAGATATTTTGGGATTTTTTTCTCCCCGTTTCTATAAATAAAAATAAGAGTATGATTTCAATATATGCTCCAAAATACCACTGCATCTGAAAATGTTACTATTAGCGAGCCTAAAATAGAATTTGATCGATTTTCAGTTACGCCTTTTGTGTTGGAAAATGTTGTATAGATATACCTATCGAAAAATATTAAATTTTCACTTTAGTTCATTATTGTTCTTGATAAAATAGGAATCTGACCAGACTTGTACGAAATGGCAAAAAACTTATTGTAGAGAATCGGTGTTGATCCTATAGACCACAGCACTTTTTCAGAATGGATGGAATTCAGTCAGGACCAATAGCCTGATGATCATGCGCTTCGATCCTTATTACGTATACAGGTTTGTTAATCTGTGCTTCTAGTATCATGTCAAATTTGCACTATTCTGTCTCTCTTTTATTAGAAAAATTGACATAAAAAATGAACTCATCAAAACCTACGCTTCGGGCATCAAACGTTAAACACGAAAGGGAATGCACAGATTGATATAAAATTTAGCATAAAGTTCACCTGTTACTATGAGGTAAAGCGGGACATATTCTTGAACTGGACACTTGTTAACTGCTAGACATCCAATCACCAGCATGGCGACATTGAAGACCAATGATATCAAAAAGGTTATTCGGATGCTTGCTGAAAAAAAAAAGTTTTCATCAGTCCTAAAGTAAGTTAAGAATTCAACATCAGAGGTCTATCGCCTATTGAATTCTTCCGAATACAATATCAAACATTCTGTATAATAAAATAAAATCTAAATATAATATATATGTATAAGCATTTTTATTGAGAGGAACTACATCACTTAATAATAAGTATATGAACTTTCATATTGCATGATTGATTACATTCTTTTTTTTTCTGTAGTTTCATAATATTGACATAATATGTTAGTGGTTATGGTTAGAATTTCCTGATGAGAATTCATTCTCGATAAAATGAATTTGAACAACCTTCATCGTTGAATAAAATTATTATGCAATCTTGCCTTGGATACAATGAATTTTGTTTGGTACGCCTATGCATGAAGTTGTTTTTATGAAATTGAAACATTTTGAACTCTAATAGCCGCCATCCAAGCATCAATAGAGTGGATCCCACACAATAAATGCATCAATTCATTGAAACAATTTAAGATATTACGTTTAACTCGAGGAATTCAATGTGCAATGACACTATACAGGGTGTCTCTAAATAACATCGAAAAAATTCAAGCGGTGATTTCCTTGTAATATGTTAATAAAAAAGTTCATATTAACATGTGTCCTAAGTTGCTTCGTTTTCGAGATACAGCGTAGAAAAAATGTGTTTTTATGGCAACTTTGAACCCGTCTCACGGACAAACAGTATAATTTTTTTATATAAATAAATTGGATCCAATCAACTCATTTTGAACTGTATTACACGTGGTAATAGCTCTGTGTCCCAGCAATTTTGAGACAACCTTTATATAAAAAAGAATGTTCGTCTGTGTATGTCCTTTATATAGAATCGTAAACGGCTGAACCGATTTCACCAATTTTTTGTTGTGTTTTGTTATCATCAGGATAAGGTTCTTATGAGAGAAAAAATTAAGAAATTCAAGTTGGTGGATCCAATATGGCGGACGAGTGTTGTAGTTATAATCCGATTCTATTCAAAATTGGTATCTGGAGGTTTTTGAGGTAGAAGAGATTATGATTGTTTCCTCAAAATTTGAGAATTCAAGATGGCGGATCCAATATAGTGAGTGACTTTTGTAATTATGATACGATTCTATTCAAAATTGGTATCTGGGGGATTTTGGGGTCGAAGATTATGATTATTTTCTCAAAATTTTGAAATCCAAGATGGCGGCTCTGATTTCGCGTGCGACTTTTGTAATTATGATCTGGTTCTGTTCAAAATTGTGAAGCTTTATATAGGTTGTGAGTTCAAAACTTGTTCCAAATGTATCATTTTCATGAAAAATGCAGAAATAGAGGGACACATTTGAGCATATTAACAGTTGGCGTAACTTTATTCTTCCTGAAAGACGCCATTTCAAGAGATACTCTGAGTGAGTTGTTGAGAATTCGAATAATTTATATAGCTCCCGAACTATAGTTTGGATCACTTTATATGATAATACTGTTTTGAAATTAACAATTCGAAATGCATGTTTTGCTAGGTATAAGCCTTGGTTATATATACATACAAGTGTGAATACTCAATGGTATAAGGTATAGCTTTTGTGTTTTTGTTAATGATTCTATTAGGAATATTAGAATGGAGTTTCAAGTATCAACTGAGTTTTTTTTTCATGAAAGCTCTTCCTGATTAAAATACAGTAGTTAGTGTAATTGGAAGGGCGCAGAAAAATCCTCTGGCTGTGACCAATAAATAATCCTAAATTCCTGAGTTCTGTTCCTGTCCTGAGCTTGCATCCTCGAGGGACTAATAATCTTCCATCGATCCAAGTATTGAATACATAGGCGGAGGACCAATTATTTTTATTATAGGTCAATCGAGAGAGTGAAATTGGAAAAACCTATTCGATAGAAATTCTCATCTGCAGAAAGGGTTCAAGTCAAATAGTTTTCGAGAAATTATAAGTAATATATACGAAAATAGTGAATGATCAGTTCAAATTTCGATTAAGCCTACTCATTCAATGGAAATAGGAATTTTTTTTTCATAAACTTTGCATACTCTCTTGATATTTGTGAACGAATTTCCACCAAATCACGAAAATTCGCCACTTCTAGTTCTTCTATAGACGTGACTGTTGATGTGCGTTGAAATTATAGTGCCGTAGCCGTCCTACGAATTATACCGGGTGACACAGGGAACAGTTTGAGATTCACAAGAGTTATATTATCGATGATGGCGCTTCCCTTGAACCCAAAGACAATTTTCTTCAACCACCTTTTTGATCGGAAGTAGACCCAACTTTATTTTTTCAAATGGCAAATGGCTGGTTTCCCAGCCTCATCGGCTACGTCTAGGTCTTTTCTGCCTAGTAAAACATATAACTATTTTGACCCATATATTGTCAATAGCAAACATGACTGCAATTATCCTACAAAAATTTGTTGCTGCTTCCGATTCATCTATTGTTCGTACCGAATATCATAAATGAAATATCGAAGATATGCAATTACTGTGATAGGTACACTAAGACAAAAATGAAACATCAATCAAACAGTAAATATTCTTCTGTTAAGTATCTCATTGAATCTTCATACAACAATTTGTGTAGTCTTACCCACCCTCTACCAATTTGAAGTAACATAGGAAACAATGAAGTGAAAACAAAAATCACTTATTTCAGGTGATTTTAATATAGTATAGTTTATTTAGCTAATGATTAATTGATTCGCCACTTCGTGGCGCTTGGTTTTAATAGGGTTAGGTACTTCACAACTTCAATATTTCCAAATATCTATACTCGATGAATAAATTGCTTGCTTACAAAGAATAATCAATGGAAAATATGACTCATATCCGTTAATGAGTGTTTATATTTTGTATCCCATATCAGTGAACCTATATGTAACTCAAATAACAATCATATTTTATTATTTGTTCTGGCATACCTATAGCTTTGTAAAATACAAATAATTCGTAAGGTATCTTTAGTAGGTGAATACCTACAAATACAGAGGAAAAACATGGTGTTTATAAACGAAATACAACGAGAACACCGTATCAATTTTCCTTACAAAGTTATACTGCTTATATACAGTGTGGAAACCTAATGGAATAAAATCCTAATCTGCATAACACAAATATATTTTGAAGAATCCTCAGACAGATATATTTTTATTTTTTAAAATCTATTTTCTAACATACAAATTTTCAACCACCTGTCAACCTAATACCCTACAGATCTCCACCTTCAATATCTACAATGTAATGGTAGGTACTGTTTCATTGTACTATAAGTAGACGTAAACGGACATTCAGTATGAAAAAAAAATGTAAAGAAGAAGCTTTTATTTTTATTTTCAGCGAACCCTTTCATTTTAAAGGAAAGGATTCAGAGTGATGTTTCGAGTTGCTCTCAACGAGCCCTTTCATTTGAAACCCATATATATATAGAGGTAGATTGAAAATAACTATTCTGCCATCTCAGATGGTCCGCCATATTGGATTTAGAATGACGTCACATTATTTTTCGAGTTGCTTTCAACGAGCCCTTTCATTAGATACCCATATGTTGTAGAAGTGCATTGAAAATAACTATTCCGTCATCTTGGGTGGTCCACCATATTGGATTTAGAATAACATCACACACCTTATCGTGGATTGTCATCCAAACCAAACGTGTATACACAATTTCAGCTCAATCGGTTGAAGATATATCTCGAGATATCTACTTCAAACTTGAGTTCGAAGATTCCACCCGAACAAACATAAATAGATTGCAAGTTGAATAAAAGCTTTCAATAAAAATTTTTAAAAGGACGGTGACAGATGAAAAATAATGTAGGACACTAAATCAACTTCACATGATTGCCGAGTTCTAGGATTCGGCGAATGTGTGTGGGTCCCAGGGCAAGAAAGATTGTACGTCAGATGCTGCCATGATCTTTATTATTCACCGATTTCGCAATTGTTGGCAAAATAAAAGTGAAAAGCCTACTCTTGATGTTTCAAATTGAGAGAAATCATGAGGGGAGAAATTTGGTGGGGTATATGGCGGGATATGACTTAACCGAATTAAAAAATATGGAGCGATAGTTCCACTCTCGGTTCCACTGCAATAAGAGGAAGACAAAATCTCTTTGAAGGTATAGAATAATATCGTAAGGTCTACAAATGAAAATTATTCTGATCTCTACATCAGAATGTTCTTTGAACGTAGGTATACATGAATTATATATTTCTTAAATGGAACACCCTGTATTCCAGCACATATTTCGATATTTCGTTATCTTGTCATAACCTTGGTCTTTTCCTAATTTTGTAATTCTTTCACGGCGTTGCCAAGTTTATCATAATAATTTGGAAACATTTTATCACACAGATTCTGATTTTCGGCGACCCCCATACAAACGTTCTGCAAACTGATGAAATTGAAAGTTTCTATCGGTTGGTAAAAGAATATGTAATAAAGTGCCAGATATAATTTGATAAAAAGTCTACCCCTTCATACAATGAAAGGGCACGCCAATGTGAAAAATATTATTTGTCTCAGGACAACTGATAATATTGATAGCCATACCAGCTATATCAAAATGCGAGTCAAAATGCTTGATAAGAATCCATGCAAATATGTGATTACATTAGTCACACACATTGCATGACTAATTAACTGAGACAAAGTGGAACACCACAATCTGGGGATAACAATGGGCCCGATATAAGCCGATTAGCTACAATTTTCAAAATATTTTCACGTCCTAGCACCGCACATCGCAGTCGAAGGTCGCAGGAAAACAAAAACAAACCGGCAGCCGGCGTAATTCCAAGTCAAGATCTATTATGCTAAGTAGATCTCTTGAAACAATACACTTACGCATAATCTTTTCCTTGATTTTCGTGAATCTCGCCTGGCGCCAATTATTGTCTTCTGCCTTGACCGCATTGTCAATTCCTGCGTTTTCCGCATCCTGATTGTTGAGCGGCTGGTGCTGGGCCGTCGTAGTAGTCTGTGGATTCTCCATGATGCGACCTAGTCTTGCGCCACTCACTACAACTACCTCACTAAATCGGAGAATGAGCATGAACGCGAACCAGTGAGGTAGCGAGTAGGGCGTATGCGGTTTCCGTACACGTTAAGGCGCGTTTAGATATGAGCTGGTAGTCATGCATGCACGAAATCTAGTCGATCTTACGAAAGACGTTCGAAACTATGAATTGATATTAATTCAAATCCCGTAGTTGGAGTGCTAGCTGGCGCTGCCTTATTTAAACATGAACTTGAAACGTAAAAGTAGAAACTAGCAGTAACGTATACCTGTTTCTCATTTCTTCCCGTTCGCGATTTTTTTTTCGGAGGTGGTGGAAATCCTCCAGGACACTACGAATAAGGATCAATCCCTTCATGGCAGTGTGGGAGTTCCTATAATATGAAGGTGTAGGTACCTACTAAACACTCCACCTCCGTCTAAGGCTCGTCTGACCGAAGTCTCCGATGACACTTGACTTGTTGGTCTTACACCTCGAATATGCCGTTATTGATTTTACCATATACGACCCATGATTCTTATATTACAGCAACTTCAAATACCATCACAGTATGACTATATATGCACTCTGCCACTCAGTAAACATATTATGTCGGCGTCAAACAGTGAAATCCGTCATTCTCTGGAATGCCTAGTCATCTCACGTATTGCCGGCAAACAGTGTAACTCTAAATTTCGTACACCGTTTGCCTAATAGTTTCAGGCATTCCCTGTGATGACGGAAGGAGGTTCATTTAGGCCGAGTCAGCTTAGATTGTTTAGAAGCAGTAGTCTCTCCTGTTCTCTCAAGTAATTTCCTGAAAAATATACTTTCTAGGAAGATGGTTCATTCAGGCGGAAAAATAGTCTCCCTTCTTAGGCATATGCGGAAAGGATATTTTTTCCTTCCTCAACCAGCAAACAGAGTAACGGCAGAGGAAGTTACGCTGTTACGCTGGTTACCAACAAAACGTGAAATGACTAGGCATTTCAGGGAATAACGGAGTTCACTAATTGACGCCGACATTATACTTGCTAGAGAATGGTTTGAAAGGTCGCTTTCTGAAGACTACGCTCCTTTTCCGAGCCCTGAAGCCATCCATGAAGAAGCAGATAGCCAAAAGTTTTCCTTCTCCTACGAGTATTGGGGGAAGAGGTTTCAATGCTAATACTGAAGTCCAAACCAAATGTACCCACCTTTAGTTGCGGGCGATATGGTAGGGAGCTGCTTGCTATTTTTAATCTACAAATGCCAAATGGTCGTTTTTTTGGCGTGGTTTGGGTGGAGATGTTTGATGAACAGCGGCGGGCGTCTATTATTTACAAATTAAAAAATAAGATATAGTCCAATCAATAATCGAATGATCCAAAGGTGGGTGTAGAGTGCGTGAGCAGGGACCTAGGCGATTCCTTCAAAAACTTGTTTGGGATGTTTAGAGAGTGAACATGTGCAGGAAATGATTCTGCAGTGGAACTTACGCATACTGATACACAATGTTGAATATTTTAAACAATTACAACATACATAAAACAACTATTATCCTTCCTGGGCTTCGGACATTCGGATCCGCTTTAAGATTATAGGCATTGCAGTTGAAACATCTGGGACCTCTTCTCGGATTCTGTTGTGTATTCTGAATCTTGCTGTTCCTATTGCTGTATAATGCCAGTTTGGAAGATTTAACCCTGATATCCCTAACATTTTGTTGAACAAGTAAACTCTCAACGAATTCAACAGGAGTCACTTGCTTGGAACCTTGAATGACTAATATTAATGGTTTGTATTCTTCTGGTGAGCCTCCTAGGATTATCCCTCTGACAACGTTATCTTTGAAAGGTTCACCTATTGTCGATGTACTACTCTTGCATGGAGAAAGATTATTCAAATCTGGTCTCGAATAGGCTAGAATATAAACCAAGTATTCGAACAATTCCTGTGTCCTCGTATGCTCTTTTCGAATTATCCCATACTTCCTTTGCCATAGTGGCTTTCTTGGTTTTGCGGCGGCTGCTGAGGGTTTCAGGAATAAATTGATTTTGTCAAGTGCTCTCTGATCAGTATCTGGATCAATATAGAATCACCTGGCTTCGGTTCTACACAACACCAGATTCATGCATCCGCCAGGATGCAATCATTGTAGTTACTGCCATCCAGATGTTTGGATATGTTTTTGCAATTTTTGTAATTCAACCAGTTACGCTTGAATTTCATCTACTGTAGTCATCTCGAAATTGTCTTGTCAAAAATCAAATTTGACAAAGAAAATATCTTCTGAGATTAATCGATTATTGAATACCTGCACGCTTTCAGTTCCTTCCTGGGCCCATAACCTATTAACATACTAAAAGTCCTGACGTCTAGGAGGTGAACCGGAGGAAACATAACCTCTATTAAGAATTTACGAAAAAAAACAATAGTCTGAAACCTGTATCTTTATTGGAATAATATCCTGAAGCTCAAAACTTTCCTTTGAGTCTATCAATATCTCTGAAATTTTCAATGAATTGTGTATCTGAATATAATGGTAGAGTGTCCTCAACATAATCCTTCATTTCTTGGTTTATCTAACAGAAGTTCGAGAATTATCAAATTAGGAATAATATTTTCAGCACCTTCAGCAAGGAACTTCTTCACCACTGCTTCCTGACGATGAAGAACTTCTACTATCAAATAAATGTACTAAAACTATCCATAATATCGAGAAAATATTGGAAAGAGCAATGAACAGTAGAAAAAATCATTATGACGTTACGTTACAACAGACAGAATCGAAAACTAAATGAAATGAGCATGCGCCATACTATAAAAAATATAGTTCAAGTTTTGTTTATTATAGTATTTACATTTTTGTATTGTTTTGCTGTTGAATTTTCAATAAATGTATTCATGCTTTTGACGCATAACTGAGTTTTCAATATTTACAATCCGGTAAAATTTCATTACGGGATAGTAGCACGTAATCAAATATTACGTGCGCCTATCCTGTAAAAGTCTATTTTCCGGATTGAAATCAGGTACGTAAAGGTATGATCTATGATGCAGTATGAAATAAAAGAATTTTCCTCATGAACATATGTACTGGGTAATCTATCGAAGAGGTCCACGTTATTATTTATCACTGAAAAAAAAAAACGAGATGCTGAAGTCGAATGCCGTGATGAGGCACTTTCATGGACCTTATCAGGAATTTTACAGGGTTATCGCTAGAAGCATATGACAAACCACAAACTCCGAATCATGGCCACCTAGATGCAATATTAAAAGTTAGTCTATAAAAGTTATGTAGGCGTAAAAACTCCTGAAAATATTATATTCTGATTTAGAATTGTCTCAGAAATTCCAATCCATTACATTATACAGGGTGTTCCTTTAAAAAATTCTAAACCGGAGCGATTCCTAGTGGAATCGGAAGTGACCGGGAAGTGAAGAATATGCGAAAACTTTCCTCTTCACATACCATATAATCATGATTTCATAAATTTTGATACATCCAATTTTGATTACGCAGATATTGTCAATTGATCATTTTATACGTTTTTAAGGAATTCCATGACGGTCCTGACAGAACGAATCTCAATCCGGTGATTAGCCGACTTTTGTTTGTCTAGCGTTAGTTTTTCTCAGATGTTTTATCTCTGCATTTTCGAACAATGTAGCACGTTCACGTTATGGTTATAGTTTCGCCAAAGTGCAGCAGCAGCATTTCGTTTGTTCTCGGCGAGAAAAATGTTCAGAAGTCATCCAACACCGCTAATGATAATTTGGCGAGAAGGTGTCGTGACACAGGGTGTTTGAAAAAACATGGCACATGTACCACCCGAAATGATGAATATATTGTAATTGAGCCAATTCTATCGGTGAGTTTTGAACTTGCAACTTTTGTGTGTAAAATGTTTGGTGGTTTTATCTATTTCAATGAGTTCTACATCCTGTTGCATCACCTTTTTTCGAATACCCTGTATATTTCTATTTGTATTAAACAAGATGGCGAAATATAATGTCATTTTTATAGATTGCATGGATACTTGTGAATTGAGTTATACCCCACGCAGAGTGTATAGGTGGGACTCAGTTCATTTCTGCAATTTATTCGATCCCTGTGAAAATTTTCCCTCAAAGGCAAGCCGGAAAGAGTGAAAAATGGATGGGATAACTCGATTTTGCACATCCCCCATTTTCAAACGCGAATCAATAGTTGCTGGTTATACTGTGATATATGGGTTTTCACTCTGAAATAATGTAATAACGTATTATTCGCATTGGCATAGATTGTATTGGGTATTTCATTGATGTTCCGATTTTGGATAATTGACTCGGTCTTCACTTGATAGTGAATCACATGGTAATAAAGAAAAAGAGAAGGTATTACATATGAACGATAAAATTCCCAGAACATGATATAATATCCTATCACTGTTAACAATAATTGAAGTTTATATATATAAATCATAAACCGTACAACCATGGTCAAGAAAAATTGAAAAAAACAAGGAGTACAAGGCTTTGTTATGCTTGTTCTGTCAAACGTTACCTTCCTGGCAAAAAAATTCGGTGAGGTAAATAACACTCAAAATACGTAATATAGTGAGAGCATATAGATAAAGGTACCTGTACATATTATTATCGAAAAAAATCAAAAAGATTTTTGTTTGCGATTCATTCATATTGATTTTGCAATGACTGATTGTTATCAATCAAATTAAACAGTGTTAATATGACCTTTGTCAAGTACTCATTCCCGGAAAATTTAATTGCTAATCTAGCAAATATATCTACAGAAGAAAAAGAGATAAAGCAACTGGCGCTAACATAATGTTGCCAAGTTAAAAATACTTGAGAAATACCTAATTCCACGCATAACTTCACTGTTCTCATCAATAGAAATAGAACTAAGTAAACAATTTAGTATTGATTGATTCCGATTCTTTTCCTATGGTAGGTCGGTACATATATAGATGAGCAACTAAACTTGAAATGTACTGGAAGGGATTTGAAACTGAATGTCATGAATATTCACTTACGATTCTTAATAATCCGCCAACATAAATTAACCATCTATCTAATTATGCAATGCAATTTTTCAGTACCACGGATTTTCAGGTAAGTAGTTTTAGATTAGTTATCTAACAGCATCTGTATCATTTGCTGAAATGAAAAAAAAACGAGAATTAATATCCGACTACTCATGGCTTTCTGTCCAAAATGGCAACATTGTCAAGTCCATTGTGCATTTGATTGGCACGCAAGAGAAGGTGAGGGTATAACCAATCAAAATTACTCGCGCACTGACGTCACACCTTTCGCGGGCATGTCTGATCGTTTGAATTCGCTCTTTCAATTTGCGTGTTCAATAATTTTTCACACGATGAATCGATGCGAAAAAAAATTTTCAAAGAATATTTCAAGGTATTCCAGAGTCATGTATTTCAAGATCTATTTTTTCTAGGAATTACTGGAAAGGTCCATTATTGGAATCGTGATGGTTTGATAAAGATGCAAGCTTGCCTTTCTTCTGCCATTTCTCTAATAGTAGTTGACTCAACAATAATAGATGGAGAGAATTATGCATCCTCCCAGCGAGCACAAACATCCCGGGGATGTTTTGGCATGTTTCGAAAATCTTGGCATGAAGATGTTATTTTGAGACGTAATATGCACTGACCAAAGAGGTCTTTGAAGGATATTAAAGTATTGTTTTTGTTCTTCTGTGGCATTTCTTTGTTTGCCTACTGAGAGGTATCCCTAGGATGTTTTGGGATGTTTCAGAAATGTAGGCATGAGGATGTTTTTTTGAGGCGTTATATGCACTACCCAAAGAGGTCTTAGAAGGATATTGAAAGTATTGTTTTTGTTCTTTTGTGCCCTTTCTTTGTTTGCCCCACCACAACGTCTCATACTTACGTCACAATACGATGAATTCTGATTTGTTTTCGATTTTGTTCTTCTTGTTCGCAATTGGCATTCTCGTTTGCAGCGTGTCACGCTTACATCACGCTGCTAACGAACAGAAAGGAATTTGGTGAAGTTTATTGTGTTAAAAGACTTATTTAGTTTGTGATAATGACCATCAGATGAAAGATGTGTTGTTCGGTGCCTCAGTGTAATCAATATATAAAAGTACGAATTCATCAATACACAGCTTCTCCGCAGTTGCAAAATTATGCATTGTGGAGAACATTCCGAAAATTGGGAAACCTATTTCCAATTATATGTCTGTGTGTAGAAAGCACTACTCAGAAACCGATTAAGAAGGTAATTTCATATCAAGAAAATATTTTTATGTTCAATCTATTTTTAGTGCATTTTTTCATTGAATGGAAATGGAATCCTAATGCAAAAGTTCATTTTGACAATAGGCTTCAGAAAAGTACCTCGAAAATGGTTTTTTACAGCGATTTAATGTGCGCAAGACGCGTTGAAAATGTTCTGTTGTGTCCATGAAAAGGCTTTAAAAAGAACTAGGGAGAAGGTAGTTTTGTGACATATCAAGCGGCGGACATTGGCTGTTCTATAATAGTTCTATATTCATGTGTGAACAGAACATCGCAGTGGAGGTTCAATGTCTCGAAATCTCGTACTTTTAACATCTCTGAGATGTTTTTGTGCTCGCTGGGCTTAGTTCTAATTTCTGAGCAGTTGAAATTTCAATTCATTTTTCACAACGAAAAGAATCTGTACCAGTGATGGACAGAACCTAGCGTTGTCGAAGTATAAAATAGTTTTCCGTCCTAAGATACGAAAATGAACTGAATATGTAGGCACTCAGTTCAAGTATTCAGAGTTATATAACTTCGATGACAGATGCAGAAAAATATCATTTATGCGTACTTCACTCTCCTATCATTACCTCTCGAATGAGTTGCTTATTGGGAGTTATTTTGTGTATCGGCATCGTTAGATTCGCATCACAAATATTGTATTTTTCCAGACAAATAATATCTGATTTTATTACTCGAATTTATCATTTCCTTCGCTATTCAAAAATCATCCGAAGGAACTGAAGTGAATGTAGCATAATCCTTATTGCCTTCATGTATAATTTGATTTATGATTACGCGTATTCTATTTTCAAATATACTCCACTTTTAAAATATTTCAGTGCTATGTATGTGGATAAGGCTCATTCACCTTTAATGATTATCTAGATACCTATGCCACTTAGACAGAATATTTCCATCATATATCGGTAATTGCACTGCAGAAAGTCCAAACAATCCATCATTTTTATTCACCCAAAGTCATTGTCAATTTTGATTACCAATCTGATTCAAATTACTTGGAACGTTGCATAGCAACGAACTTTTCCTGCCCAGGTAGTAAAAGCACACTTTTTCTGCCTGTTAAGTGTCATTAAAAATCCACTATTGATGTCATTTGCAGGAAAATCATTTTTCTACGGCTATAACACAAAATTGCTCTTGGTTTACTCAGAGATGTTTACTTTATTCGATACATCAATAAGATATTTTGTATGTCATCAATTTTATTTCCGTATCTGATACGACAATGACTCCATTGTGTTATTATTTCAAAATAATCTCATCGCTCATGGAATGTCAAGTGTCAGCAAATGACAGATCTGTCTGATAGGAAATCAGATGGCTACAAGATGAAGAAATCAAAGATGTCGCTGTTATTTGTTACAGCCTACAGCTCATGTCACAAACTTTATTTTCGTGGGAAATCACTATCATTCCGTGCTCGTTAAACAATATACTATTTTCTACGGCTATAGCACAAAATTTCTCTTGGTTTACTGTATGTGATATCGATCAATGAGATACTTTCTAGGTCATCAATTTTATTTCCGTATTTGATATCACAATGACTCCATTGTGTGATTATTTCAAAAAAGTCTTATCGCTCATGGATTATAAAATTACAAGCAATGACAGATCTGTCTAATGGATGAGCTTGAGAGATAAGAAGATTATAGCTGTATAACAATTATAGTGTATAACTTGCACGGAATGCTAATTTCCAACTAGAATGATTGCAGCATTCGCCTATGGCTCATGATGCAAACTTCATTCTCGCAAGAAATCACTGTCATTCCGTGCTCGTTAAACAATATACTATTTTTTACGGCTATAACACAAAATTGCTCTTGGTTTACTGTATTCGATAAATCAATGAGATACTTTGCATGTCATCAATTTTATTTCCGTATCTGATAACACAATGACTCCATTGTGTGATTATTTAAAAAAAATCTCATCGCTCATGGAGTGTCAAATTACAAGCAATGACAGCTCATTCTGATGGATGAGCTTGAGAGGAAACAAGATGTCTACAAGACGAATAAATCAAAAATGCCGCAGTTATCGGTTACAGCTGTAGAAAAATTATAGTGTATAACGGAATGCTGATTTCCTATCACTCTCATTCCATGCTCGTTAAACAATATACTATTTCATGTCAATTATAAATATTGTTGCATGAAACAACAATATTCAGGGTATATGAGTTGTATACAACCAGTCAGTGGAGGACCGTGAGTTTGTGGGGCCCTGGGCTAATAATGATGTATAGTAATGTAAAGTAATGATGTATAGTACCAGTTAGCAGGTATACGTCGTCTTCGCATTAACAAGTTTGTACATGAAATCGATCGTTATAGTGAGCTATATTAACGTTCAAATTATCTAATAACGAAAGATTGAGGTATAGGCAACCAAACATACACTGGGTCGTTTCAATATTGAATCTACATTCGAATCGAAATTATCGATCAATAGAATATTTTACGTTAATGGCTTAGCTTTCCAACGTTCCTGAACCTATTTGAATTCCTGTTTTCTAACACAAAAGAAATTTATTCTTTCTACGGCTATAACACAAAATTGCTCTTGTTTTACTGTGTTCGATACATCAAAAAGGTACTTTTTTTGTTTTCAATTTGATTGCTACTCGAATGATACTGCTCATGCTGCAAACTTCATTCTCGTGGGAAATCACTATCATTCCGTGCTCGTTAAACAATATACTGTTCCATATTGATAAATTCGGCAAATGTCAGTGACAAGTTAGATTTCATGATTTTATATAGCTACTGGGGGATTGTTAGTTGTTTCCGTATTAATGATGAATTCGCGAACCAAATTGTCTTCATTGCAGGAGATATATGGTCGACGGAGACATTTTCAATAATAAAGTAATTCATTACCTCAACTCGAACATTAACATTATCGCACTTATTGATGCACCAGTTCACCAGTTGGTTAAATACCTATAAAAATGATCTATAGACAGACTAACGACAACTGAATATTATATTATTGCAAAATTAATCAAGAGAGGTTATGTGTTCCGCTTTGATATATAAATTTTGAAGCATAAGATAAGAATATTTAAAAATTCGGATTTGTTTTATTCACTATTTTTCATTGTTTTTAATGGGAGCTTGGGACCCTTTGTATACATGAGGCCCTGTCCATAAATCCCTTATGTACAATATGACAACTGTACAAGTCGTAGTCGATTCCTATATTATCCACAGAGCAAAAAACAAAAGGTATCGTAGACATACGATACGTACAAGATGTTCTTCAGTTTGCATGAATATACTTCTAAAACTGATACTACCTGATACTGCCGTATAATTACTAATTCCCAG